AAACCATTACTAGGATACTTACTTTTGAGAATCAAACAAAGTCCAACTGGTACCTTTACTAATTTTTGTTACTGCGACAGTTTTGTCACGCTGGTATAAAAAATACAAAAAAACGTCTTGTGGCTTCAAGATAGTTAAAAACGCCATTTCCTACTAAAATCCGTTACCAAATACATTGTCGCAAGGGGGCAATACCAAAAAATGTGCGCTCAATTCAAAAGGTCATTTATAAAAGTTGTGACCCAGTAGACGTGACCTAGGGGACCAAAATTACAGGACAAACTTTAGGGGTTATTTTAACCACTTGAATTTTTAAAAATTATCACACTGTTTTCATGACCATTTTAACACCAGATTAACACCATACATGGTCTATATCGATACAAACCAAAATGGTGTTAAATATGGTTCGTTGGTCCGGTGTAAATTCAAATACTAAAATAGTGTAAATTTAACTTTCACACATTATTAAAATAAATTTTACCTGGTGTAAATTGAACTCCTTTTCAGTGTTAAATATTATGTGTTTTTGGTCAAATTAAATCATACAACACAGAAAAAAAAGAAAAAAAAAAGAAACAGGAAGTTCCTTGACTCATTACTAGTATATTACCAGTCGTATTATTCCAGAAAATTGAACCTTCAACTAGAGGCAGGTATAACCCAGAGAGCCATGCTTTGGGAAAGAAATTAGTCAACTTTTTTCCAACTAAGTTTGGACTACGATATTTTACATTTATTGGGGTTTATTTGGACATATTAATTGTATTTTCATAAAGTTTGACCAAAAATTGACATGTTTTATGCCAAATTATTTTCCAATGCGATAGCACAAAAACTACACAAATATACAGTCCTAGATAGAGTTATTATTGGCCAACGTCGTTTGTAATGAAGTTTGGTCGAAAATTGGCAAACCGTTTGTAATTCAGATTGATCGAAACTTGGCAAATAATTGATCAGCATGGAAAAAGAATCGCAATGTCGTTAATATTTCAAGACCTTCTCTACAAAAAGGCGTCAAAAAGTGCTTGTGTGATAGTTATTACAAAAAAATATAATCATCTGTGCACTAACTAAACGTGTTAAGTTTTAAACGGCTTTAAATTTTGAGTAAGTAATTAAGGTTATGTTTTCAATAAAACAATGTTTTAAAAACATTCAATTTCTTACTTCTCGAAGATTTTTTATTCCCTTATTAATTTTGAATTAATATAAATTTACATTGGTAGTTCTATATTATGTACTTATTTTTTGTTAATTGTTACAGATTTTTATCTTGAAGTTGCAGTGAAGAAAAATAACTGCCTTTTTCTAGGTAAATAGTGTTTATGGGTACTAGGCTTTTACTACAAGCAGGACAATTTAAAAATAAATTTTCTACCTATGTCACGAAGGAAAAAGAGGATTTATTGGGTTTTAAGATCTATCGTGCTAGAAGTGAGCAAGGTACCTAATTGCAATTTTTTTAAGTATTGAATTTAAAAATTTATTTCTTTTTTATTTTTAAAGTTCTTCATACCTAACATAAAGTTACCAATCACAAACTATTTTACAATAAGTTCTTAATGTTTAATAAAGCATAATTCTTGATAGCCTGATCGTAATTCAATTTGTATCATAATATTATAACAAGTATAAAGGTGGATTTAGCCAGCATTTAAAGTAATGTAATTAAACGTAACATAGGTTATTTAATTTAAAAAATTGTGTAACACAATTTGTGTTGACCCGTCAAACAAGAAAAACTCAACCAAGAATACATCTGCACTTAAAAAAATCTATACAGGGTGTCCTGAAATTAGGGGGCCAAACTTAAACAGTGCATTCTTCATAGAAAAATAACTCTTTTTTGTAAACATGTATCAAAAAATGGTTTTCACTTCCAAAATACGTTTTAAGACTCGTGTTTTTATATTTTTATGTTATAGGTTAGCTACTTTAAATTTGTCGCTGACGATGACGTCCTAGGCAGCGTGAATTTAATTGTCAAAGAAGCCTTCTCAGATGAAGTTTCTTCCAAAATAACGCGCACTGGACGTGCTGGTGTTGGGGTGTCCAAAACAAAAATCGTACAAGCCATTCACCGTATGTTTTATGTTTTAATATTATTTCCTAGACAATTTTGTTACCTAAAGTATTTTTTAGAGAGTTTACATGAACATGATAAATTTCCTCCTCCAGGGGCTTTAGAATTCCAGAGGTCCTTTGACGTGGCCTTAAACAACGCGAAGCAACGGGTCCGAAATAAAAAAAAAGCCTTATTGCAAAAAAACAATTAAATCACTGTTTGGGATTCAACATAAAAAACAATATTTTTTTCCAATTTTGATTATTTTAAATATTTTTTATTTATACACTTGTTTTTTTTTAATTTTATTTTTGACCACTGTTCCAGTATTGGAACATACTGTTTTATTTGTTTTATAAAAAGCGTTTTATTTACCCAATTTTCAAATACTCTCCAAAAAATTAATAGATAGATTAATAGATTTTAATATAAATGAGAAAAAGAGTAATATTCTTTCAAATATAATAATAATATTTGTTAATACTCTGGATTTGTCCAAATATTTACCAATATTTGGTCAATTTTTCAAAAGCCTAATTGCCCAAATAAACATCAAAAATTTGTCATCGTTTTTCCATGCCCAAACATTCCCAAAATTAAACCAACGGTAACCTACCTAATTTATCCAAACTGCTTTGGCATATTATTGGGCACAATTTGGTCATTTATTGTTGGCCATCGCGATTGCACAAATACCATAGGAATATACAGTCCTACATAGTACATTTATTGGCAAAACTTTTCCAAAGGTAATGGGCAATTCTTGGCCATGTTTTAACCTGATATGGCTCTCTGGGAACGATACGCATATCGATATAATATCGATACATATTCTGCAAACACTGAATCGATATATCCTTTGCGTATCGTTAGTTTATATCGTTAATTTAAAAATAACGAATTAAGCAAAATAGAAAATATGCGAACGGAAAAAAGTTAAACCCAAAGACGTAGATAACTTTCTCTGTCTATGGTTAAACTCTCTATGTCTATGGTAAACTCTCTATGTCTATGGTTAAACCAAACATATTCGCGAAGTAAGATACAAGACAAATAGTATTAGCTACGTTCGCAAAGCGATCAGAATTGCGATTGTGATTTTTTCGGCCAATGTGATTCAAATAAAGAAATCCAAGACCTTGAAATACGCCAATCAGGACTGCCATAGGAATCCCAAACTCGTCCCGGATCGCTGTGCGAACGAACCTATAGGTTATATCATTTTAATGGTTGGCAAGAACTTGAATCTAACTTCGCGAGTATTATTTTTAACCTATACATTTTTACAAGAAGTTCGATTTTATCCTTCATCGTGTGTACATCGCTCCATGAAAAAGTCTGAAAATAGTTGACTTTGACCCAGGAAGGATAAAATGTTATAAAATCTGTATAATTTTGATTTTTTAAATAAAATTTGAAATTTGTCGATAAACTATGGTGAATAATAAATTGCAACAATTAAATTTATGTTCAATTTATAGGGGGGCCGGTATGGCCAAGCAAAAAGCTATCTTTTTTTCGCAAACTTCTATTTAAATTCTGCTTGCGCAGAACTTGTTTATTTAAAGTCATTATAAACTCATATTAATTAAATGTGGGTCCCATTTCTAATATTTGAGATATCAGTATACCCAAAATCCACCAGCCGCCACTGAATTATATGTAATAATAAGAATATACGTTACATTATTATAGTTTTTGTTATTTATTCTGATCTGTGTTATTTTAAAAGGCGTAATTGGCCTTCTAAACTGTTTTTTGTTTTTTTAATAAAGTTTATTTTTTTATTAAAACCAATTTCTTTTAAATTTAAACCTACAAAGAAAGAAACCGATTTTTTTTTATTCAGCTCGAGGCAATATAAAAATATCGATATTATCGATAATATTTTTTTTGTATCGATACTGTATCGATACGGCCTCCGTATCGTTATACCTGCCTCTACCTTCAACTCGCTAGAAATAATGTTTTTAGTGCGTTCCACCAACTTAAAATACTTCAAGTATTGACAGCTGTTTCCACCTATTTAAGGTCTCTTTAGTATCGAACAACTTGTAGTCATACCAAAGCAAAGAACTACCTAGCTTATATACTCTTCATGTAAGTCAACAGAGGCGAGATTTAAGAACATCACGTGATCCACACTGCCTTTGCCGCGATCGGTACATACTATGCAACCGGGAATGCACGGCAAATTGTTTTAATCGTTTTAACAGAGTTCTTTAGGTTGAAGTAACTCTTATTTTACAAACAACATATTTAGTAAAGTGAACCATACAGCGGGTTGGTTTCACTAAAGTTTTCTGGGTTAATTTAACCAATTTAAAAAAAATAAATAACTAGCTGGTTTAGTACCGTCAGACTAATCTTTGTTTATTTTAACCTTCCCACAGTTGATAAAAATAAAAAAAATACAAAAATAAATACTTATGGGTCAACTAAATTAATATAGTTAAATGAACTATTCTTTTTTTTCTGTGTAGGTGCACTTCTAAAATATTTTTAGATAAACACTGTTTTGGTGTTTGCTGTAATACATTTTCAACCATAATTCATGGTGTTATATTAACACCACTTGGTGTTGGATTTTGACACCATTTTAAGATTATTTTTTACACCACAGATATTTTAAACACTGGTGCACAAATGGGCTTTTTCTGTAATATTTGGAATATATTCTCATCTTTAAAAAAAAAGAATGTTATTTTAATTGCAACATAAAACGCTTAAAACTAAATTAATGACGCACTGTTGCAGAAAGCACTAAAACAAATCTGTTAGCCATCGCCAAAGTAAATTTTTAAATCGCATAAAAATTAAGTAGATACTTGAAGCAAGCAATTTATAACGTCCCCTGATTCAATGTAAATAAGACGGTTTAAATAGAAACATTGCGCTGCGCGTCTAGCGAACGTATTCCGTCAAAAGTTTTGACTCAAAACGGTTCAGTCTTTTGCCGGCTTTCGCGCCCAGAGCTTCCGCGAGAAAAGCTTTCGTATACGCACGTAAAGCACGTGAAATGTAATAGAAAACAGAAGCAATGTCGGCTACACAAGTAAAACCCAAAGATGACGTCAAAGTTAACACCTTAAGTCCCAATTACACCGCCAGAGTAATCTGCTGCGTGCTGTTTATTTTTTTGACAGAAATTTGCCTGGCACACTACGTTTACAGACTCATCAACTCCGAAATACACGTGGAATTCGTGACGAAAAGTGATTTTCGTCGATATTTTTTAAACGAGTTGCAAAGCGAGAATGGCAGAAGCGAAATGCTCAGGGTGTTCAAAGAATTTTCGATGGAGAAAAGTCTGAATAACACCAGAACTAAAAGAAGCGCCAACAATGGTGTAAACTATTTACCCATGAGTTCCAGTGAAGATTCCTACATCGAGATACTCAATCAAGACACCTCTGCTAATAAAGGGGCTACAGGAGATGGTATATGGCTCACAAGTACCAGCAGAATACCAGTAAGTAGTAATTTACATTTAGCATTTAACGAGCGCGATTGATTATTCTTTATATCATTGATTAAGAAACTCAACGCTTAAATGCTTATATAGTTACGTTAGTGTGTGTATTTTATCTGAGGGATCATGGTGAATTATTGCGTTTTTAATTGTAAATAAAATTCAAGAACTAAATCGTTGCATTTTCATGTTTTGCCAAAGGATCCAATTCGGTAAGTACATTTGTTGGTGCAGAATAAACTAATGATAACTTTACCTAATATAATTTATATTTAAGTTTGGACATTTTTAAGAAATTAGTAAAAAATAATTTTTGCACAAACATAACCTTAAAATCAACCATTTTTATGTTTGAGTTCTCTAAAAAACGCCGACAACTGCATTTTAAACAACAAAATATACTTACGAATTCATGGCAACATAATATGGTATTTTACCGTTGAGTGGAGACTTTAAAGAATTCTTAATCAACGCTTTTAATAATGCTAAATGCTGTTTAAATTTAGACGACTTACTTGTTTGACGATTATTACTGAATTGTTTACACTTTTCACGTTAATCATTACTAAAATATGTATTTATTGTATCTAATAGATACAATTTATATTTACAGGGACTGTATGAAATTTATTTCTTCATTCGGATTAACACTGTTTATTGGAAAACTGATAAAAACTCAACCCAGGATTTCCTCTCGAAATACCCTCAACAACACAATAAATCGTGCCACGGTTTTTTTTCGATATTTTTAACATTTTCCGGCTTTATTCTCAAAAACACTCGTTTGTAACACATGCGTTTGACAGCTGATTATCAAAAGTTGTTACGATGATAATAGCCGAGTGGTGGCGCTACTAGCGATAATTCTTTGGCGTATTGTGGGCAATATTTGTTACCTCTAAATCTTTTTTTATTCGCATTAATTACATAAGTACATCAATATTTTATTTCTATTTTTATTATTATACATATATAAAAGGTTATTTAATTTAAAAAGATCATAACATTTAAATCATTGATTAATAATAGTCAATTGTCAATTTAACCAATAACGTGGACATTAAAATAAACGGGTGACGTTCACAATATCGAAATTCATTATATCGAATTCAAAATATCGAACACTTTTTATCGAAAATCAAAATATCGAAAATACAAAATGTCGAAAATCAAAATATCGAAAATTAAAATGTCGAAAATGATAATATCGAAAATTAAAATGTCGATTTGAAAATGTCGAATAATTAAAATTTCGAAAATTAAAATGTCGAAAATGATAATATCGAAAATTAAAATGTCGATTTGAAAATGTCGAATAATTAAAATTTCGAAAATTAAAATATCGATTTAAAAATATCGAAAATTAAAATGTATGATTAAAATCGAAGTGTATATGTACAGAGGCGCCTCTGTAGATAAAGTTACGGTTATGCACCGAATTATCTTGGCTCCCTGGCTCCTAGAGATGCGCGTTTTATAGAAATGTACTCAAACTCAACAACACAACCCAACCGACCCCGCCCCATTGGCCCCCCCCGCCCCATTGAGCAAAAAACCCAACTAAAATGGGCAAATTCATGTTACGATAAAAATAAAACACTTTTTAATTACATAAATTAGCCCATTTTGTTTTATTTTTATCGTAACATGAATTTGCCCATTTTAGTTGGGTTTTTTGCTCAATGGGGCGGGGGGGGCCAATGGGGCGGGGTCGGTTGGGTTGTGTTGTTGAGTTTGAGTACATTTCTATATCAGAGGCGCCTCTGTACATATACACTTCGGATTAAAATAATATGTCGAATAATTGAAATATTTAAAAAAAATATCAAATTCAAAATAAGAAAATATGGTTTAGTTTCACATTAATTGTAAAAATAAAAGTATTTTCGACATTTTAATTTTCGACATTTTGTATTTTCGATATTTTGATTTTCGATAAAAAGTGTTCGATATTTTGAATTCGATAAAGTGAATTTCGATATTATGAACGTCGATATTTTATTTTCGATAAATTGAAAATTCGATTAAATAAAATTTCGATATTATCATTTTCGACATTTTAATTTTCGATATTTTGATTTTCGACATTTTGTATTTTCGATATTTTGATTTTCGATAAAAAGTGTTCGATATTTTGAATTCGATAAAGTGAATTTCGATATTATGAACGTCACCCAAAATAAACATTACATTTAAACTATTACTCAATGTTTAAACTTCAAAAGTTAAAACATTTTATTAAATAAGTTAAACTTTCAACGACAAATTGAAATTAATAAAACGATTTCGAAACTTGTACAAAACTTTACATCTCTTTAAGAATATTAAAGGGGGTAATTAGCGGAGTTGAATTGCTTAAATTTCTTGGAATCGAAAAAATAAATTATAAAAATTTAATCTCCCTTTTTTTAACATATTCTCCTTCATACAATATATTTTTCGTTTTTATTAAAATCAATACGTTGTTTTTCTTAAGTGTTTAAATATGTAGAAGTTTATTGTTAAATCTAATCAAAACCATTTTAATTGTCATTAAGAAATTCTTAGGTAACTAAGACTGCTTAACATAATTACGGAAATTAAGGGTATTAATGATAGCAAATGATCCTCATTAAAGGCTGTTACTAGATGGAGGTAATTATTGGTAATCATGGAATTAAACAATAAATTTTCAGTTTGATGTATCTTTTGGTGTTCTAACCTCTAATGAATTAGTTAGGTGAATACTGTTAATAAAATTCTCATTTCCTATAATGAAGCAGCAATGTTGAGCTTTTTGAAAAAAATGTTCATCCAACAAAGTAATAGTTGTTATCATATTGTCATGGCAATAAGAAATACTTTATGTTTATATTAAATCTTGGTCGAACTTAAAATGTTTTTGTTAAATCTATAGTTGTGTGTGAATTGCGTTTACATAAAGTAATGCGCAGTTGTTTTAGTAAAATTTGTTCATTTTACTATGGCATATTTGTCTTTTTTAAATTACTATCGTTGCAATTCAAATTAACTTTATTTCAGTTAGAAAATTTTTGTTAGTAGCTTACGTTAAGAACAATAACAACAATATTTTATTGCTATAAAAAGACTTTTTTAATATTTACTATTGTTTTGCAATGGTTACAAAATTTTTGTTATTTCCCTTAAAAAAGAGGGGGAAAGGGCCAGCGCTCTTTTTGGTGAACACAACTTTATAATTCACAGTCTGTGTTATAATCTTATTGATTTCACTTTACTTTATTAAGATACATTGTTAATAAAATATTTACGCAATAAGGATTTTATATTTTTATTTTTTCCATCTTCGATAAAACGTTATAAAATTACTCAAGCAGTAAATTTAACACTATTACGTAGAAGAAAGAGTCTAATCGGCTCGTATCCTAATGACGTTTATCCTTTAATTTAATGACTGCAAAGTAGCAAGGATAAGGAAGCTCAATTATTATTATAAAAATCCAATTTTCATTATCCTGACAAAAAAATTTAAAACTGTACATTTTTACATTTTTACTTTGTGATACATCATTAGAAAGCTCTTGAAAATTGCTATTTAACAGTACCTACTTAATAAAAAAATATTTTTTAATAGTTTAATTTTTAAAAAGTAATTTTTATAATTATTATTTATTCCAATTCCTCGTCATAAATATTAAATTTAACCATTAAAATTTAAATTACACAGTATTTTGTTTTGAGAACATAGACAATATAGGTAATAAATATACTAGTCCAGACCGGGCCAGTCACTTTTTCAAACAGTTTCTGAAATATCTGTTTTCTAAATTTGAATGCAAGGGAAGTGACGAGTATACCAGGGTACTAATTAAATACATAATTTAATGGAAAATATAAGATTTATTACAACTTTGAGCATATCATACATTAAATATCTTAAAATCAAATAATACCACACATCAGTGGCGGCTGGTGGATTTTGGGTATACCGATATCTCAATTATTATATATGGGACCCACACCAAATTTATATGGGTTTATAATGACATTAAATAAGCAGAATTTAAATTGAAGTTTGCGAAAAAAAGATAACCGAAACATCGAACATGGAACTGACGACACGGTACTGATGAATGGGATACAAATTTGAGATTATAATTCGGAATTAAGTATTTTACTGATATTTTTTATTAGTGGATGCTACTTATCAACAAATCACATATAGCCTTATATAAATTACAATGAAATATATATTGTACATAAATTGTATATATTTTAAAATAAAATCACTCAAATATTTGATTCAGGCGTTGTGACACGACAAAGTACTGATGTTTTGAATATTTATTATGTTTTTCTACAAACGTGCTTTTGAAAAACTACATTAAAATTGGGTGGACAAGTTAAAAAAACCTGTATCTTTTGTAATATTCTAAAATATTTACAAAAAATATTAAAATACATACTCTATTGACTGATGACATCAAGTTGTCCAACTTTTGTAGAATCGCCCATATATATATATATATATATATATATATATATATATTATATAATTTTCTCTCAACGTGTCAAACACATGTACCTACACGTGATCAAGTAATTAAAACGTATGGTTTTATTTTAGACGATTCTCTAAAATTGTTTGTAATTAAGTAAAATGTTCACCAGTAACACTAATTGCTTAACGCAGTTGGGAAACCAGCGAATGGAAACAAAAAATAGAACCTCGTACGTTTCAACACTGGATATGTTCGTTAATGTATTTTGGTCCCCTTATTTATACTGGGTGTACCGACTTCTCATTAAAATTAAAAAAACTGTATTAAAATTCTTAAACAAATAAAAAATCCAAATAAAAAAACTTAATCATCAAACTCAATACCAATAATTATTACCCATCAATTATTTCATTTATTTTTCGTTTAGGTACAAAAATAAATTAGCAAAAAAAAAGAAAAAAGTTAATAGCTTTTTAAGCTTTAACTTTATTGCTCAGTGGGATTATTTCCAACGAATTATCCTTCGTCCTGGTTATCCTG